AGAGGTTCAGCACCTTGGAGAGGTCTTCAAAGGTTCACACTCCAAACTGGAGGGATGGCACTGCCATGCCAACATGCTCCTTCCCCACTGTTTCTCATCTCCTATTTCAGGTTTGGAAAGCTGGCTCCCGGGAGGGAAGTCATTAGAGGCAGCAGGACAGAGGGCCAGGGAAGTTTTGTGTGTAACTAGGATGTGGCTCCGAGTTGCTATCCCAGCCTCCTCCTTTGTGTTTGGCCGACCCCCTCGGCGTCTCCATCATTCTTCTGTGTCCCAGATGCGGATGTGGGCTTATCCTCAGTTCCTGGTCTCCGGATCCTCTTTGCAAAGCATCCCAAGCCCCAGCAAGGACCAGACTCTGCCCCTCCCCATCCCCATAAAATATTGCTGCTCAGTCTGGGTGCAAAACAAACACTCTTTTCCCCCCATGCGGCATTCCCATGGGGATTGTACAAAGAGATTCCATTCCACTTCATGCTAATCCCATTTTCTGTTCGGATGAGGGTGTCTGGGAGAAAGGAACTTAATTAAATGACATGAACAATGGGAGGGATGGGACTGGAATTGAGGTAAAGTGAACCTAGGAAGCATTCCGTTGACGTGGGAGTCAGAACAAACCATCAGCCCTGTTTTCAGAAAATGATGGCTGTGTTCCTTCTTCTGAGGCTGGGAGGATGTGGCATACACTGTGATGTGGTGGCAAAAAAAGCCAATGGGATTTTGGCCTGCATCAATAGGAGCATAGTGTCTATCCTATTGCCACCCATACTCTATTCTGCTTTGGTTAGACCACTCCTGAATCTTGTGTCCAATTCTGGGCACTACTTTTAGAGAGATGTTGACAAGCTGGAATGTGTCCAGAGGAGGGCGATCCAAATGATCAAGGGTCTGGAGAACAAGCCCTATGAAGAGCGGCTTAAGGAGCTGGGCATGTTTAGTCTGAAGAAGAGAAGGCTGAGAGGAGACAGAGAGCCATGTATAAATATGTGAGAGGAAGCCACAGGGAGGAGGAGGGAGCAAGCTTCCTTTCCGCTTCCCTGGAGACTAGGACGCAATGGAGCCATGGCTTCAAACTACAAGAGAGGAGATTCCATCTGAACATGAGGAAGAACTTCCTGACTGTGAGAGCCGTTCAGCAGTGGAACTCTCTGCCCCGGAGTGTGGTGGAGGCTCCTTCTTTGGAAGCTTTTAAACAGAGGCTTGTCAGGGGTGAGTTGAGCAGCTGCATTTTGTACCAACTTGAGCTTCCGGATCACCGACAGAGGAAGGCCAATGTAGAGGGTGTTACAGTAGTCCAGTCTTGAGATGACCGTGGCCTGGATCACCGTAGCAAGGTCGTCCCTGGACAGGGAGGGGGCCAGCCGTCTAGCCTGCCGCAGGTGAAAGAAGGCGGTTCTGCTCATGGCAGTGGGAGATCTGGGCATCCCTCATCAGCAGAGGGTCCAAAAGGACTCCCAGACTCTTTACCAATGATGATGGGCATAGCGCCATGCCATCCAGGGTAGGCAGCTGGATGTCCCCACTGCCTGGTCAACGTAGCCATAGGATCTCCGTCTTTGCTGGATTCCCCCTCAACCTGCTGGCATGCAGCCACCCAGTCACGGCCTCGAGGCACTGAATGCCTCCAGACCATGACCATAGAGCCCAGAGAAACCTACAACAACTCAGTGATTCTGGCCACGAAAGCCTTCGAGAATACAGCTAGTAAATCAAGGGTCCACAAACTGTATAAACAGAGGGCCAGGTCACAGTCCCTCAAAGTGTTGGAGGGCCGGATTACAATATGAAAAAAATGAATGAATTCCTATGCACACTGCACATATCTTATTTGTAGTGCAAAAACACTTTAAAAACAATAATTAAAATGAAGAACGATTTTAACAAATATAAACTTATTAGTATTTCAATGGGAAGTGTGGGCTGCTTTTGGCTGATGAGATAGGATTGTTGTTGTTGTTGTGTGCTTTCAAGTCGTTTCAGACTGAGGTGGACCCTGAGCGAGGGCCGGGTAAACGACCTTGGAGGGCCGCATCCGGCCCCTGGGCCTTGGTTTGAGGACCCCTGTAGTAAATAAATAAATTGGTGAGAAAAGCCGGTATTTTTATTTGTCGTGTCAGAACACATTAAAAACAAACAAACAAACAAAACACAAAGTTTGCAGACTTGGTATTCTATTAAATGTCCTTTGACCAGTATCTGGCCACTTGGAGTGCCTCTGGTGTTGCCGCAAGAAGGTCCTCCATTGTGCATGTGGCAGGGCTCAGGTTGCATTGCAGCAGGTGGTCAGTGGTTTGCTCTTCTCCACACTCGCATGTCGAGGATTCCACTTTGTGGCCCCATTTCTTGAGGTTGGCTCTGCATCTCATGGTGCCAGAGCGCAGTCTGTTCAGCGCCTTCCAAGTCGCCCAGTCTTCTGTGTGCCCAGGGGGGAGTCTCTCATTTGATATCATCCATTGGTTGAGGTTCTGGGTTTGAGCCTGCCACTTTTGGACTCTCGCTTGCTGAGGTGTTCCAGCGAGTGTCTCTGTAGATCTTAGAAAACTATTTCTAGATTTAAGTGGTTGACGTGCTGGCTGATACCCAAACGGGATGAGCTGGAGATGTCTCTGCCTTGGTCCTTTCACTATTGGCTGCTACTTCCCAGATGTCAGGTGGTGCAATACCGCCTTAAAAAAGCAGTGGTCACTCTCTTGAAAAAACCAAGCCTAGACGCTGCCATACCTAGTAACTAGGCCTGGGCGGTTTCGCTCGTTAATTTTGTAATTCGTTAAATATTCGTTAATTTTAGCAATTACAAAACGATTACAAAACTTATTTTTAAACCCGGAAGTGTTTTTAAATATCGAAACGGCATGCGCCAAAAAATTTTGTATTTCCGTCCATTTCGGAAATACGTAAGATGGCTTGGCTAGATGCTTGCTGGGAGCTCTCCTCTCTCTCCTCTCCTTAGCCAGTCAGAGCCTGAAAGAGGAGGAGGAGGAGGAGGAGGAGAGGGCGGGGAAGGCGCCGGCTGAGCAAGCGAGCGAGAGGGCGAGCGACCCTCAGCGGGAAGGCGGCCCGTCCCTCCTTCCTCACCTTTGCGGTGGGTGTGCTTCGTTCTCCCAATTCCTTAGCGGAGGGCTGTGCTTCGTTCTCCCAATTCCTTAGCGGAGGGCTGTGCTTCGTTCTCCCAATTCCTTAGCGGAGGGCTGTGCTTCGTTCTCCCAATTCCTTAGCGGAGGGCTGTGCTTCGTTCTCCCAATTCCTTAGCGGAGGGCTGTGCTTCGTTCTCCCAATTCCTTAGCGGAGGGCTGTGCTTCGTTCTCCCAATTCCTTAGTGGAGGGCTGTGCTTCGTTCTCCCAATTCCTTAGCGGAGGGCTGTGCTTCGTTCTCCCAATTCCTTAGCGGAGGGCTGTGCTTCGTTCTCCCAATTCCTTAGCGGAGGGCTGTGCTTCGTTCTCCCAATTCCTTAGCGGAGGGCTGTGCTTCGTTCTCCCAATTCCTTAGTGGAGGGCTGTGCTTCGTTCTCCCAATTCCTTAGCGGAGGGCTGTGCTTCGTTCTCCCAATTCCTTAGCGGAGGGCTGTGCTTCGTTCTCCCAATTCCTTAGCGGAGGGCTGTGCTTCGTTCTCCCAATTCCTTAGCGGAGGGCTGTGCTTCGTTCTCCCAATTCCTTAGCGGAGGGCTGTGCTTCGTTCTCCCAATTCCTTAGCGGAGGGCTGTGCTTCGTTCTCCCAATTCCTTAGCGGAGGGCTGGGCTAGATGGCCTTTGGGGAGCCCTTCTCCCAATTTCGCATTGCTTCGGAGGAGCCGGGCCCAACTCGGCGGCAGCGCTTGAGGGCCCCCAATTCCTTAGCGGAGGGCTGGGCTAGATGGCCTTTGGGGAGCCCTTCTCCCAATTTCGCATTGCTTCGGAGGAGCCGGGCCCGACTCGGCGGCAGCGCTTGAGGGCCCGCAAGAGTGAGTGCCTGCCTTCCCTCCTTAATAATAATTTCTCCTCCCTATTCTACTAAATTAATAATTAAATTAAAAAAATATTGAAAAAATATTGAAAAAAAAGGCGCCATCTTTACAAAATGTTTTGTAAATATTAACGAAATTTCGTAAATACCAAACTTTTTTAAGGGAAAATTCAGACCGCATCTTGGCCTATGAGCCCACGAGGACCTTGAGATCGTCTGGGGAGGCCCTTCTCTCGATCCCGCCTGCCTCACAGGCACGCCTGGCGGGGACGAGAGAGGGCCTTCTCGGTGGTGGCCCCCCGGCTGTGGAACGACCTTCCTGTTGACATTAGACAGGCGCCCTCTCTTTTGTCCTTCCGAAAAAGCCTCAAAGACGTGGCTGTTCGAGAGGGCATTTAATTAAGTGCTATAGTAATGTGGTAAAGACGACTGGAATGGTACAAGGAATACGAGATTGGTCACGATTCTATTACGAGACGAAGCGGATTAGTTAGTGTAATTTTAACTGTTGTATTGTTGTATGGTTAATATGCTGTTGTACTTGTCTTTGTGTGAATTGCCTTTTGTACTGTACACCGCCGTGAGTCGCCCGAGTGGGCTGAGAATGGCGGTTAATAAATGCTCCAAATAAATAAATAAATAAATAAAATTTTGTAATTATTTTAAATATCGAAACAAAAAAAAAAAAAAACCCCAAATACAAATCGATTTTAGAAACAAATTTTGGCGTTGTTGTGACCCACCCAGGCCTAGCTGGTGAGGTTGGAGGGCCGCCTGCAGCGCGGCTTGGTGCCCCCAGGGGGCGCGCGCCAGGGAGGTTCGCCCGCCCACCGCCTAACTAACCCCTCGCCCTCGGGAGCAGGGGCAAACGTCGTGCCGCGGGGCGTGCTGGGAGATGTAGTCCTCCGCGTGGCTTCTCTCTCTCTCTCTCTCTGTTTCCTTTCCTTCCGCGGTGGGGCCCGGAGGCGGAAGAGAGGGAGGGAGGGAAGGGCAAGGCAGCCCCGATCCCGCGCTTTCCTGCCTGCCTTCCTTTTCCCGCTTCTTCTCTCTCTCTCTCTCTCTCTTGGCGGTTGGGGGGAGAGAAGGGGGCGCACCCCCCCAATTCCCGGAGGAGGAGTCTGCAGCGGGATCGGGGCCCGGCTCCACGGATGGCCGCCGTCGGCGCCCACTCCCCCCAGGTAAGGAAGGGCAGGGGCGGGGAGGGCAGGGAAGTGGGGAGGGAGGCAGGCCTGCCAATCCTTAGGCCTCTCCCTCCCTCCCCCACAGGCCCGCCATCACTCCTTATTGGGGGGTCCCCGGAAATGAAAGGAGCCCCCAAGGCCGGCCACCCAGTCCACAAGAGCCCAGGCCTCAAAACAAAGCCATGCCCAGGGGGAGAGAGGAGAGCAAGACACAAGGGACACCCAAAGGGGAGATTAGAGAGAGAGAGAGAGAGGCCCTGGCCCCCCTCTTCAGGAAAGCAGATAGACACCACTTGGGAATCCTGGGACTTGGAAGGGAGCCCCAAAGGCCATCCAGACCAGCCCCAGGGTGCCAGGGTCATAATAATGGAGGCATACAGTTGGGAGAGAGCCCTAAAGATAATCTAATCCGACCCCCTTCTGCCATGCAGGGAAAGCACAACCAAAGCATCACCGACATCATGATGACAACAATAAATAATAACAACAGTAATAATATGAAGGATAATAATAGAAGCATAGAGTTGGGAGAGAGCCCTCAAGGCCATCTAGTCCAACCCCTTCTGTCAAGCAGGGAAAGCACAACCAAAGCATCACTGACATCATAAATAATAATAATAATAATAATAATAATAATAGAACCATAGAGTTGGAAGAGACCTTTAGTCAATCCCCTTCAGCAATGCAGAAAAAACACAATCAAAGCATCACCAACAGATGGACACCCAGCCTCTGATGGTAATAATAGTAAGAGTAGTAGTAGTAGTAGTAATAGAAGCATAGAGTTGGAAGGAACCTCCAAAGGACACCCAGTCCAACCCCCTTCTGCCATGCAAGGAAAGCACAATCAGAGCATCACCGACATCATGATAATAATAGTAATAGTAATAACAATAACAACAATATGAAGAATAATAATAGAGGCATAGAGGGCAGGGAAGGGAGGGAGGAAGGCCTGCCAATCCTTAGAGGAGAGCAAGACACAAGGGACACCCAAAGGGGAGATTAGAGAGAGAGAGAGGCCCTGGCCCCCCTCTTCAGGAAGGAAAGCAGATAGGCTCCACTTGGGAATCTTGGGAGTTCACACCCTCCTAGGCTTGGGAGGGAGCCCCAAAGGCCATCCAGACCAGCCCCAGGGTGCCAGGGTCATAACAATAGAGGCATACAGTTGGGAGAGAGCCCTAAAGGCCATCTAGTCCGACCCCCTTCTGCCATGCAAGGAAAGCACAATCAGAGCATCACCGACATCATGATAATAATAGTAATAGTAATAACAATAACAACAATATGAAGAATAATAATAGAGGCATAGAGGGCAGGGAAGGGAGGGAGGAAGGCCTGCCAATCCTTAGGCCTCTCCCCCCCCCCAAAGGCCCGCCATCACTCCTTATTGGGGGGTCCCCGGAAATGAAAGGAGCCCCCAAGGCCGGCCACCCAGTCCACAAGAGCCCAGGCCTCAAAACAAAGCCATGCCCAGGGGGAGAGAGGAGAGCAAGACACAAGGGACACCCAAAGGGGAGATTAGAGAGAGAGAGAGAGAGAGAGGCCCTGGCCCCCCTCTTCAGGAAAGCAGATAGACACCACTTGGGAATCCTGGGACTTGGAAGGGAGCCCCAAAGGCCATCCAGACCAGCCCCAGGGTGCCAGGGTCATAACAATAGAGGCATACAGTTGGGAGAGAGCCCTAAAGGCCATCTAGTCCGACCCCCTTCTGCCATGCAAGGAAAGCACAATCAGAGCATCACCGACATCATGATAATAATAGTAATAATAATAACAATAACAACAATATGAAGAATAATAATAGAGGCATAGAGGGCAGGGAAGGGAGGGAGGAAGGCCTGCCAATCCTTAGGCCTCTCCCCCCCCCCCAAGGCCCGCCATCACTCCTTATTGGGGGGTCCCCGGAAATGAAAGGAGCCCCCAAGGCCGGCCACCCAGTCCACAAGAGCCCAGGCCTCAAAACAAAGCCATGCCCAGGGGGAGAGAGGAGAGCAAGACACAAGGGACACCCAAAGGGGAGATTAGAGAGAGAGAGAGGCCCTGGCCCCCCTCTTCAGGAAGGAAAGCAGATAGGCTCCACTTGGGAATCTTGGGAGTTCACACCCTCCTAGGCTTGGGAGGGAGCCCCAAAGGACATCCAGACCAGCCCCAGGGTGCCAGGGTCATAACAATAGAGGCATACAGTTGGGAGAGAGCCCTAAAGGCCATCTAGTCCGACCCCCTTCTGCCATGCAAGGAAAGCACAATCAGAGCATCACCGACATCATGATAATAATAGTAATAGTAATAACAATAACAACAATATGAAGAATAATAATAGAGGCATAGAGGGCAGGGAAGGGAGGGAGGAAGGCCTGCCAATCCTTAGGCCTCTCCCCCCCCCCAAAGGCCCGCCATCACTCCTTATTGGGGGGTCCCCGGAAATGAAAGGAGCCCCCAAGGCCGGCCACCCAGTCCACAAGAGCCCAGGCCTCAAAACAAAGCCATGCCCAGGGGGAGAGAGGAGAGCAAGACACAAGGGACACCCAAAGGGGAGATTAGAGAGAGAGAGAGAGAGGCCCTGGCCCCCCTCTTCAGGAAAGCAGATAGACACCACTTGGGAATCCTGGGACTTGGGAGGGAGCCCCAAAGGCCATCCAGACCAGCCCCAGGGTGCCAGGGCCATAACAATAGAGGCATACAGTTGGGAGAGAGCCCTAAAGGCCATCTAGTCCGACCCCCTTCTGCCATGCAAGGAAAGCACAATCAGAGCATCACCGACATCATGATAATAATAGTAATAGTAATAACAATAACAACAATATGAAGAATAATAATAGAGGCATAGAGGGCAGGGAAGGGAGGGAGGAAGGCCTGCCAATCCTTAGGCCTCTCCCCCCCCCCAAAGGCCCGCCATCACTCCTTATTGGGGGGTCCCCGGAAATGAAAGGAGCCCCCAAGGCCGGCCACCCAGTCCACAAGAGCCCAGGCCTCAAAACAAAGCCATGCCCAGGGGGAGAGAGGAGAGCAAGACACAAGGGACACCCAAAGGGGAGATTAGAGAGAGAGAGGCCCAGGCCCCCTCTTCAGGAAGGAAAGCAGATAGGCTCATCTTGGGAATTCACACCCTCCTAGGCTTGGGAGGGAGCCCCAAAGGACATCCAGACCAGCCCCAGGGTGCCAGGGTCATAACAATAGAGGCATACAGTTGGGAGAGAGCCCTAAAGGCCATCTAGTCCGACCCCCTTCTGCCATGCAAGGAAAGCACAATCAGAGCATCACCGACATCATGATAATAATAGTAATAATAATAACAACAACAACAATATGAAGAATAATAATAGAGGCATAGAGGGCAGGGAAGGGAGGGAGGAAGGCCTGCCAATCCTTAGGCCTCTCCCCCCCCCCAAAGGCCCGCCATCACTCCTTATTGGGGGGTCCCCGGAAATGAAAGGAGCCCCCAAGGCCGGCCACCCAGTCCACAAGAGCCCAGGCCTCAAAACAAAGCCATGCCCAGGGGGAGAGAGGAGAGCAAGACACAAGGGACACCCAAAGGGGAGATTAGAGAGAGAGAGAGAGAGGCCCTGGCCCCCCTCTTCAGGAAAGCAGATAGACACCACTTGGGAATCCTGGGACTTGGAAGGGAGCCCCAAAGGCCATCCAGACCAGCCCCAGGGTGCCAGGGTCATAACAATAGAGGCATACAGTTGGGAGAGAGCCCTAAAGGCCATCTAGTCCGACCCCCTTCTGCCATGCAAGGAAAGCACAATCAGAGCATCACCGACATCATGATAATAATAGTAATAATAATAACAATAACAACAATATGAAGAATAATAATAGAGGCATAGAGGGCAGGGAAGGGAGGGAGGAAGGCCTGCCAATCCTTAGGCCTCTCCCCCCCCCCACACAAGGCCCGCCATCACTCCTTATTGGGGGGTCCCCGGAAATGAAAGGAGCCCCCAAGGCCGGCCATCCAGTCCACAAGAGCCCAGGCCTCAAAACAAAGCCATGCCCAGGGGGAGAGCACGGCCCAAGGGGAGAAAGAGAGAGAGGCCCTGGCCCAGCTCTTCAGGAAAGCAGATAGACACCACTTGGGAATCCTGGGACTTGGAAGGGAGCCCCAAAGGCCATCCAGACCAGCCCCAGGGTGCCAGGGTCATAATAATTTATTTGATACACTTGTATACCGCTAATATCTCAGCCTGGGTCGGCGACTCATTGCGGTTTACAGCAAATTAAAAACAATCTCCAATTTAAAACATATACGCATACAATAACAAATTATTGGGCCACCAATAATAATCCCATATATCTCAAGCTGAAATCATAATCCAGAATTCGTTGTCCATATTCCTGTCCTTAGTCACCAGAGTTCGAGTGCCACAGATTAGCCGAATGCTTGTTTAAACAACCATGTTTTCAGTCTCTTCCTAAACACCATCAGCGAAGAGGCTGATCGTACCTCTATAGGGAGGGTGTTCCAAAGCCGGGGGGCCACCACAGAGAAGGCCCTGTCTCTCGTTCCCGCCAGCCGCACTTCTGAAGCTGGAGGGATAGAGAGAAGGGACTCTCCAGAAGATCTTAGGGTCCTGGTGGGCTGATAGGCTGAGATACGTTCGGATAGATAAGTTGGGCCAGAATAATAATGGAGGCATACAGTTGGGAGAGAGCCCTAAAGATAATCTAATCCAACCCCCTTCTGCCATGCAGGGAAAGCACAATCAGAGCATCACTGACATGATGATAATAATAGTAATAGTAATAATAACAATAAAAATATTAGAAGCATAAGAGTTGGAAGAGACCCCTAAAGACAATCTAGTCCAACCCCCTTCTGCCATGCAGAGAAAGCACAACCAAAACATCACCGACATGATGATGATAATAATAATGACAATAATAATAATAATAGAAGCATAGAGTTGGAAGAGACCTCTAAAAGCAATCTACTCAACCCCCTTCTATCAAGCAGGAAAAACACAATCAAAGCATCACCAACATGATGATAATAA